CCCCAAAACCCCAAAACCCCAAAACCCCATAAGTGAAAATTGAATGCTATCGTGAGAAAATGTTTGAGTTATAAAATCAAGTTAGTTATCAATGTTTTTTTAAATCTTGGTCTTTCCATCTTTGATTTCTTCTGCCAGTTGACTTGTCAAAAGATGAAGAAGAGTTAAGGGGTAGAGGAATCGCATTAATTTGTCTTTCAAATTCAGCTATGCTAATATAGCCTTCTCCATTCCTGTCAAGGAACTTCGCTAGATTGTTCAATTGGCTATCAGATAAGGCTTTGATTGAGTTTATAGCTACTTTGAAATTTCTTAGTGTTAAACTCTGAGCTTTCTCAAAGTTAAATTAATTAAGCAGTTATGAAGGAGTTTTATTTGTAATCTGAGCAAACTTGATCCTTAATAACTTCATAGATTCAGTTGCCTCAGTTTAATCAGAGGTATTGTCGAACTTAGTACTTAATAGATCAAAGAAGTCTTATTTAAAAATCTCATAAGACTTAAATTTGTTCAAGAAGTATTCCTTGATAGTTTAGATCTCATCATCCATCATGATATAGCTGAAATCTTTTCTGAGAGCAGTTGCAAGCTCCTCTGCAGATAGTCTCTAGTTCTTATTCTCATCATACTTAACAAATAATTCGTTAATATTGACTCCATATTTAAAGGCTCTAGTAGCGAGAGGCTTGATAATATCTTCGATGTTAATCTTAAAGACTTAGTCCCTGACTTCTTTACCAAATCCAGCCTTAAAATCATCCAATGTCAATTGATCTTTGCCTTAACCGAAATGAGAGAATAATTATGCGATTTCATCTTCAGTTATTTTAGGGATGTATTTCCTGATAAAGTTTTTGAATTCAGCAAGCGACATGAGACCGTGTACTTTGTTAGCAACATATTAGTTAAAAGTTTAATCATAGGTAAATCCTGTTGAGCTTATGATTCTTTTAATCTTTCTGAGAATAGCCTCAACTATGAAAGAATTTAGTTAAAATATGTGTCTTACTGTTGATTTCAGGGAATGCATTTAGGAACTGTTTGAAAGAGATACTTCCCTTGTTTGTTTTATCAAGGATTTAGAACAAGTTTTGAAGCTGAATATCCTCTAGATCAATCCGAATAGCTTTTAGTTTCTGGATAAATTCATTCATAGTTAAATTCATGTCTGAGTTCGTATCAATGATTTGGAACAATGAGTTTAACGTAAAGTCTTACTGCTGTATATAATTCTTCAGCTTGTTCTTGATAATTCCTATAATATGTTATTTAATGATGAATAGTTTACTTAGATTTGGATCCTCATTCATTGCTAAGTTTTGCATTGAAATAGTATTTGCTTCTGATATACTTTCATTCATATAACCTGAGGGATTATTTTAAAGACCAGTTGTCAAAGGAGTGTCAGTTCTAATTATCCCTGGTGTTGTTGTCCTAGATATTCTAAATTTATAGGATGGATTGTATTATGCTATAAAATCTCTGTAGTGGAAAACATTCTCTCTCTGCACTATTGAGAAAAGCTCGATGCATTCATCTGGTTTAAATCCAAATTAATGGTTTAATAGCGTAGCTGAAAATCCATTTTTGTCTAGATTGCCATCTTTGTTAAAATCTCTGTCTTTAAACTACTGCATAAGATATTCTACTCTATCAGTTTACACTAAAGCTAAGAATCTCTTGAAGACTTCAGAGTTAGAGTAAATTTGTTGGAGAGCTCTGCTTAATAAATCCTCAAATAAAGATACTGAGACTGCCCCCTATTACTCAATAGCATTTACTACTCTCTTTGCATCAAAATCTCCTAAGTTTCCATCTTAGGCTAAGATTCTGATCAAATCCAAAGCGGCAATATAGTTATTCTTTGCAAAATTTGAAATGTTATTTCTCATCATAGTAGTATTCCCAAATCTAGTCCTAGCTAAAATTTCTAATATCTCTTGCTCAGAGAAGTGTAAGGAAGTCCTACTTCTCTCTAATTGATCTTTCGATAGAGTATTTTATGATGAAAAAGGATCTACATCACCAACCCCGCCCATAAAAGTTCTGTTAGGACCAGTTTATGAGGGCCTTTGCTCATATTATCTTATTGCTGATTATTAAATAGCTATCTCATTTTAGAAGTCTGATCTTGCTCTTGTGATGGCCTCTGTAAAAATTTAAACGAAGTCATCTAATTCAACTAGATTTTTATCTACTAAATATTGATTTCCTCTTAAGAACATATCAATTTCCCTCTCTGATATATCATTTTTAAGGTTTAGTCTCTTCAAGCAGGTGTACTTAAAATCCTCTTTAGTGACATTTTTTTGTCCTCTAGTGAAAATTCCGAAGAGTAATTCAAGATCTCCCGGGAATTTAGCGATTTTCTTAGCAATTCTGTAAACAAACTCATTTTCCCATAGTTTATTGTAATGTAGATTCGCAGCCTGTTGTTAAAGTTACTTTGAGGCTAATGTGGCAAATCCAGCATCAATATCTATAATCGAAATTTTAGCTATGAGTTTTCCTACTTCTTCTTTCTTAAGGTTTCTAATTGAAAACTTGTCATTAATGCTACTTCCCTTAACCAAATCTCCTAAAGGAATCTTGCAAGAACCTATCATGTCATCAACTTACTCACCCTCTCCAAATGCTTTTCCTCCTCTCTCTACTCCAGTTACAGGAGCAGCATCATCGAAGAGTATAACTTCAAGTTCTTCTTTTTGAAGGTACTAAATGAGCTTTGCATCGAATTAAACTTCATAATTTTAAGTATCTTCATAATTGGGGTCTTTTCCAGCTCCTGTCATTGAATATCTTTCATCTTAATTGTAGAACTGATAATAGAAGAAAGGCTAGATCTAAGCAATATTACTGTATTTAACTCTAAGATTCTCGCACTTTACAATTTGAATTGTTATCAGTTTCTTTCTGTTTCTCATGTCTACTCCACTCTGTAGTAATGTATCTTAGCCAGCTAGCTCATTTTACACGTCTAATTAAGTTCTGAAATGTCTAACTATCTCTGATAAATGCTTTCTCATTCTCATCTTGATTTTAAGATTTCCAATCGGTTACTCTGACATTCCACTGGCTGGGAAAATTCTTACTCTTTATTGAATGACGGGAGGTTTCATTGAAAGCTCCTACATTATATTTTCTCTTTCAATTAGTTCTCTAAGATGTATCTCAGCTCTACCAAGATGAATAGCTGCATTATTCTTGGAAATATAGACGTCAACCTTGATGATATTCTTTTGTAGGAATTGGACATAGAAATCATCTATCTTATTTTTGAAGGAGAATTGAGTATTGTATATTGGTCTATATCCCTCAGCAATTTACGAAGTCTCAGTATCATGATTGTAAAAGTCCACAGTAACAAAAGTAATTAATGTCTTTTAAAGAAGCATCATTTCCTTATCATCTAAAACCTATCTGAAGGCTTCATAGTTGTACTCTGCATCTTATACCACAAAATCAAGAATGTTCTCAGTGTTTTTAATCTCTGATTCATTTGTCATGACAGAAAATTCACTTTAAGTCTCATATTAATCTGTTTTATTCTTGAAAGTATCTGCCCCTTTAATTGGTGATGGTGATCTTGATTGAGTGAGTCCCATTTTCTTCTGGACTTACTCTATTTAGTCTCTCTTTTCATCAGCTTTTCTTGCAAGTTCCTCTGATTTGGCTTGAGTTGAAGTAAGCATGAATATTAATCTATCTCTCTCTTGCTCAAAATATATCTAGTTGTCCTTTTAAATATCTTTTTGCAGTTTGAACAGATGCTAGGCTTTTTCTAGTTCAGCAGCGAAATCTTTGTTTTCGTGTCTAAGTTTAGCGATCTCCAGCTTCATTTCTTTTGCATTTTTTATATCTATGTGCTCGTTTGGCCTCTCCAAGAACTGCATATCTTTCCAAATTGGATATTATTCAGGCTTGCCAGTAAAATCTTTAATAGTCTCAGCGTACTTCTTAGGATCTAGCTTGAATAATGTTGAGTAGACGTTGTATTCATCAGTGTTGCTATCCTTATATTTCTCCTTAAGCCTCTTACTCTCCTTCTCAAGATATTCCTTTTCTCCTCTCAGTTTCTCAACATTCGGTCTCAGCTCTTCTAAATCCTTCTTTCTTTTATACTCCTCTTCACGTCTGGCTTTTAAGATTTTTTCTTTCTCAGCAATTTTATCACGAAGTTCAGCCTGCCTCTTAAGTACTGATTAACCTTTTTCTCTGTTAAGGAATGGCTCAGAAGTAATTCTTCTGATTTGATCTTCCGTTTCCTTCTTTTCTTAAAGCAAATCATCTAGTTATTCTTTAAGTGACCTTGCTTAGGAAGCTTAGATTTAAACTCTATTGTTCTTCATACTGAGCTCTTAATTTAGCTTTTTCTGGATACCGATTTCATTGAGAATTTAGTCAATGTATGCTTTTGATTCCTTAAAAAGAGTTTCCTTATGTATAAACTTCCTGTTCATCTCATCAAATTCGCGGCTAATATCATGAACTTCTTCCTCTCTTTCTCTTATTTTTCTTAAAAGCTCATCAGTAGTAACTCTCCCAGTAGTCATATTGATATACTTATCCTTCTCAGAAGTAAGTTTGAGGATTTCCTTCTCATTTTTAACCATTTGAATCTTAAGTTCTTCCAACAGGGCATGATTTTACTGAGTTGGCTACAAATTAATTTTATATATCAGCCATAAATGAAATTCGAATTTAAAATTTGGATATGGTTTGAAATTTTAAAAGTTTAAACTTACCTATGCTCTAGCTCTTGTATGACTAGTCTTTCTCTTTGTGACATTATAGTAGGTGTGATGTGTAGTGATTTGCTTTGCCCCAATCTTCTTATTTTTTAGTCCCACGTGAATGATTTTGAGTTTTCTGATTCTATCCGCTAGGACACTGTTCTCATCTAAAATTTCTGAATACTAATCCTCCAATTCTTTTTAAATTCTAGCAAAATCTTTATCAGAAAATGTGTTCTTTGACTTTGTCAATTCTTCAATTCTTCTTAACTTAGTTTACATTCTAAAGTAATGGGTTGAAAAGTATTTTATTTACTTAAGAATTTCTCGCTCTAAGAGATTTTCCTTCTCCTTTAAAGTCAGATTTTCCTTTTCAAGATCGTAGCATCTGTCAGCAATTATATACTCTTCATCTCCTTTACCTGGCCTTTTCTTAATACCATATGCTGGGCCAGAACTTGTTACAATCACCTTTTTAGTAGTAGTTATCTCCTCTGTAAATTTAATATTTCTCTTAGGTTTTGAATCCATTACTAAGGATAAATCAGCATTCTCGTCCCTTCTAAACGAATCGTCTGGATGGTCGACTCTCTCCAACTTTATTGGAGACTCTTTCTTCCTGTTATCTGGAATAGACTTGATGTAATCTTCTATACCTTTGTCTGGTATGCGATCTATAATGAAATAGTTGGCAAATAGTTAATGGATAAATTAATGAGTTCTGAACATTGATAGATGATGCTTACCTTGCATTTAAATGAATTAATTTGAATTATAAACTATTTGAATTCTGCATTTTAATATATTCTAAGATTACTTAAATTGTTATTGTAGGGGTTTTGGGGTTTTGGGGTTTTGGGG